GCCAGTTCCTTCAGGACCCGCGGATGGATCTCATCGGGTCCCATGGACTTGTGCACCTTCAGGTGCCTTAGATGGTCTCAAACCTGATGTTCTCCCACAGTGGGCGGCTCTTCATTCTCCCAGTCCCTGCCTTTGCCTTCTGCTGCTTGGGCGGCGAGGCTCAAGCACTTGCTGGTGAAGACCGAGGCAAAAAAGTCATTGAGTACCTCCGCCTTCTCCGTGTCCTGGGTAACCAGGTCTCTTGTTTCATTCCAGAGAGGGCCCACATTTTCCTTCCATCTTCCTTTTATCCCCGATGTACCTATAGAATCTTTTCTTGTTGCCCTAAATAAACATTGTGCAAGTTCTCATTATGTAATCTATGAAACAGAGAGAGTTAATTAACATCTACATTTTACACTGGATCTTTAGCTTATGAAAAGGAATTTGAAAATATTAACAAGATTAAGTGGAAAGGCTGTGCCTAGAAATGCCAGTCTATAGAGATGCAGATGAATAAAAGCACCAGGCCCTTGAGTGAAGGACACCTGTCAGAAGACATTTATGTCTGACAGTTTATTTTCTCAAACCAACCTAAAGACTGGTGCTTTCTTGCATAATCCTGAGGCGTATCTGGTGGGCCAAAATTTGTGAGAGTTAACAAGACTGCATTTATTGTGTTTGTATTAGAAGATGGATGAGTATAAACTCATATGAGTTCATACCCATCTTTTTGCTTGGACATTTATCTAGGCATGTAGATTATAAGCACTCAAAAGCAATCTTGCTTTTTGAATTATTTGTCACTGCAAGGCTTGGTAATTAATCCACTAAATTAGCTTTCACCAGAAGGGACCTGTTTCCCTCAGAACCTTAGTCAATTGGAAGAAAAAATATATCCGTTTATGTATGTTACTGGTCCTGAGCACTTGGTTGGTGTTCCTTGCAACATTGGCTCATCTGTGAATGAGCTCATCCTTTTGAATCTGACTTACTAGAGTGTACTGCAGAACAGCAAGTGAGCAGCTCGGCGAGATGTTTAGAAATACACAGTGCATTTGAAACTCATGCATCGGCAGCTGTATATTTAACCTGTATTTCTGGAAGGCAGCTAACTGGAGTTGAAACTGTGATGGAGAGGTTTTTGTAAATGGGATTCATGTTCACAGAAACACTAGAGCTAATACTGCACTTTATAAAAGTCGATGATTAATTGTTAGGGTTTTACGGTTCTGTTCAAAATGCAATTTTTTTCTCACTTGTGTGGTGAAGAATGTATTTAAAATTAGAAACTGGCCAAGCATACAAAGCGACCATTGAAAAAAGATATAAAATCCTGCCATAGGAAATGAAACAAATATAGAAAAAGCTTACGTGGCATTCAGTAAGATATGGCTATAAGTAGTTATATCTGTTACAGAGAGACTGGTTTGAACATTTGGTTTTGCTAAAACAGTATTTAAAACCAGGTGTGAATACAAAATATTTCTGTGCATTTTCTTTGGTAATAGATATTTTCTCTCCTGTAGCTGGTCTCATAGCTGATACCATTACAGATAGCATTGTGAATGGGACATTAATGTATGAGCAGGTTTGATGTGCCATATATTTCTTAGTATACCTTTATATATCCTTATGTGATATGGATTTTTTTGAAAAGTCTTAGAGAAAATGTCTGTTCTCTCACAAAAGGCAAAAGAAGATAAGATTTTGTGTGTTACATTTATTATGTTATTATGCTTTTCCTTTTCCCTATCTCTAAATTTGCCCTAACACCTCAAAATGTAATTTTTCTCCTCTTTTCTGATGTCTCATTTTTTTAACTGGAGTTGGGGACTGGGATTCAGCCTGCTGGCTGCAGGCTGGGTTTGGAGGGCGTGGATGCAGAGGTGAGCTAGGAAGACCAAACAGAAACCAAAACCAGTGTGCATCCCTGTCCTATGCAGTGGTAACAAAGCTGTTACTTGGCCCTACAAAACCTAGGCTTGCCTCGGGGTGCAGGGTAAGGCAGGTTGCGTTTTGGCACCAGTGGACCAGCGATAGTTTCTCTGGTGGATTTTACTGGACAGCGGTTTGGAAGTGTCCTAAAACGAGGGGAGAAAGGAAAGGGTGGATCAAAGATCCTTCTGGATTCTGTGAGGAGCTGTGGACTGGGCCGTAGTGTGTGGAGCATGCTAGTGATTGGAGGTTGAACAGTGAACTGGTGGCCCAGGTGACACTTTTATCTAGGTAAGCAAGATCTACTCTCTACAGAACATCTCTTATGTGATTGTCTTTCAATGTAAGCATTTCAAGCAAAGCAGTGTTGTCATTAAGAAAATATTTGTCGGAGTAATTCTCTGTAATGATTGCTGATTGCTTCTCTATTTGTAGTTGATCTTGTCAATAGCTTCAGTCCATACCGAGAAGGCAGATTTGTTGAGAAACGACTGAGATCCTCTTCAGAAGGTACTGCTGGAGGCAGTCGGCTGATCATAAAACCAAAGGATGGAAATACAGAAGAGCTTAACAGCCTACGGAAGCAGAGAGCAAGCTCATCCTCTTCAAAAATGAACAGCATGGTGAGTTTTATTCCCATATGCGTAAGTTTTTGGTTTTCTGTGATTGGTGTAACTATAATGAGAAGCAGCAGCTTTACAAGTAATGGATGGTAATAAGGTGGGGGGGTGGGGGGCAGGGAGAAAAGCTGTCTCAGGCTTCCAAAATGTGATCCAGGCTCAGCTACAGATATTAAAAATATTTTTTTCAGGGTGTGACATTGAGAAAAGGTTTGCATACTTTCTGGGAAGAGATTCTTGTTGTCATGCTTTGCTGATTTGCCTGGGAGAAAAATACTGGGAGAGGGAACTGCAGCAAAATTCAGTATGACTATATCTGAGGTTAAATACAGCGGGCTACTCTGTGGCATCATTTTATTATTACTGTGTTAGTTATTTCATGGACTCATGTCTGGTATGAGTGAGATGAGATTCAGACCAGAAGTTAGATAGAGAGGAAGTTGTCTGTAAGGAGGCTCATTTGAAAGGTCTCAACAGTCCCTTTTGAGACTGGTGACAAGTTTGAATGCTTTCACTCTGAGCACAAGGTAAGGAGGAGAGGAAAGGATCTCTTCTGAGAACCCTTGAGGATCCCGAGGACTGGAAAAGCTAAGACAGATCAGATAACTGCAGGAGCGTGCTTTTGAAACCCCTGCTAGTGAAACAATAGTAGAAGGAACTGACTGACTGACAAGTTTGTGCTTTCCTATAGCCAGTGAGAATAAACATTTTAAGATGAGTGTAACTTTTGCTTACGCATGTGCTCTCCAGTGAGAGGAATAAAGATGATGCTAAGATTGAACATCTAGAGCAATGGCATCCACTCTTTAGTTTATGGGAATCACTAAAACAAGTTTTATGGCCATTATTAGTTTGAAATATTTTATTCAACATGCTGGCTGAAGAAAAGAGGATTCATTTTGTACCCATATCTGAAAAGCTTTCCAAAGAAAGCAAAAACCTCCAAGTTTCTTACCCCTGCCTAGAGTTGCTAAACAGATGTATAAATAAAGGGGCTTTTCCTTTTCAGGTTTACCTAATAGCTATTATGTTACAGTGATGCAGGACCAAACGCGTCCCTGAGAGACTCAGATGTAAACACAACTGCCTGTTGTAAGAGAGAATTTTTGCAGTTTTTCAGAGATGTGAAACTGATTGGTGCAAACTGTTAGATTTCCAGTTACGTGCTCTTCTGGTGTAGTTTTGCAGGCTAATACAAAAACTCGACAACTCATACCATTACTTAGACAACTTTATGACTGTGTGCTGGTTTGGCTGCCATTAAACGTAACATCTTCTCTCTCATCTGAGAAGTGAAGGAAGGCTAAAATTGTCTTCCTCTGTGAGATTCGCCCATACTAGTTCCTGGCTGGTCGTTTAAAAATAGGTCCCCACGGAAGGATCTGATTTAGTGTGAAATCCCCTTATGGAAACTGGTGGGAAATTGGGGTTTGGGGGTTTCTCAAGAGGATGTGAAATCTGTCTTTTGTCTTGGTAAATCTTACCCATGTATCTGAATGTATCATCCAAACGTTGCTTTGTGGCTGGGCTCACAAATGCTGCTGTGGATGGCAGGAGAAAATTACATCAGTACCAAGCACATTCTTACTACGTATGACCAATGCACAACAGATTTTCCAGTGTACTGGTGTTCTGAAGCAATGGTCACTAAAAACACTCAAGTAAAATGGAGTTACTTGATGTCTTTTACAGAAACGCTTGTCCGTACACTCACTTTATGTAACCTGGACAGATTGGATTACCAACACTTCAATGAGAGGATTATTCTCTTCTTAGCAGTATCAGATTGTGCAGATTTATCAGTATTCACTGATTAATTTTATACTACCTGAAAGGGCAGGAGACAAATTATATTTTAGGAAGGAGAAGATTTTATACATCTGCCTTTCTTGTTTCTAGATTGTTGCCAACTTCTCAGGTGAAGTAGTGCAGTAATGCAAAATTTATTTCAACAAAAACCCCTTGATTTTTTATTTTTTTTATCCACTGAATTATTGCACCCAGAGATACAGCATAGAAATAAAGAGGTAGAATTGCTATATAGTAGAAGAAACCTTTGTGCTATTAAAGTGTATAGTTATAGTGTGTTTCTCTGTTTTTGCAGGAAGTTCACATCCAAATATCAGTGAATAACATCTTATTTTTCAAAACCAGAAAGAACATGATGACATTTAAAGATGCTGTTTCATGTAGGCATACAGAGCATTACGCAGATGTAGTTCCTGCCCTAAAAAGCTGGTTACCCCTGGCTCAAGCCTGTAAACCTTATTGGGGTTGTTAGACCCAAGCTATTAGGCAGATCTCTCAACTAGACTGATGCCACAGCACTTCATTCTATTTAGCCTTGTAGTAATGATGGGGCTGGGAAGGTGACAACACAGTAACAACAGGAAGTAAGCAAAGTGTGCATGGGGGGTGGGTGCTGATTTGAGTCTCTTCCTCATGTTTTGTGTATGAAATCCACATTTCTTTTTCACTTCCATTAGCAAGATTGTCCACAAATTCACAAGGGTTTGCTCATGCTTATTTGTATTACAGTCATAGACCAAGAACTTTTATGTCAAGATTACTGTGCATAGTCATGAGTGAAGGTAAAATTATTCCTGCTTTCCCCCCAATGCGTATGGATATCATCTTTATATGTTAAGAAAAATGCTAGATGAAAGCTTTTTTTAGTAAAAAGTGAGGGTTAAGAAGAAGTAAAGCAAACAAAACCAAAACTAACACCCCCTTCTTCCCCTCCAAACAACCAGAAGGCAAAAGAATAAGCGGAGTTCCCTGGAAGGAAAAGGAATTAAAAATTGAAGAAATTGATTGTCTGTAATAATAATAGTAAAAAGGCCCCTGCAAAATACTTGTCACAAGCAATTAATGTTTAACACCACAGTAGCAGATTGTTACCAGTGAATGATCCTAATGAAGAATAAATACTAGGTAAAGAACGGAGTTGGTAAACTAAGTATTATTAAAAACCTTAACCTAACTTTCTTGCGTGCCTAGAAAACCATTAGTCACTCTTCTGTGGCTACCTCTGTTCATTTTGTTAAATTTTTGAAGAATGTTAACCACGGCGTTTAAGGGATGGCAAGTCCATGGTGGATTGCTGAGGCCTTTCTGATGAGGGCAGCATTGCTGTTCAGTTCCGCTCCGCGGCACTGAGCGAGTGGTGGTAGCTGTGGATGCCCGTTTTCTGGCATCATCCAGATGTTGTGTTACGCTGAAGCAGCTCTGTAGAGTGAAACATACCCTTTCCTTGCAAACTGAAGAAAGTCGTCCAAGGCCCTGCTTGCTTCTTTTTTCTTGTTGGCAGGCAGCGTGGGCTGCTTCTGCTGAGGGGCTGGCGGGAGTGAGGAGCCAGAAGAACTGAGGGGATGCTAGATTTTCACAGGACATGAGAAGAAGAAAAAAAGACCAGCATCTGAGAAACTGTTCTTCCTCCTAAACAACTTGCTCAGCAGAGTATTCTTGCATGATTTGCAGTGCTCTTTTTGAAGGCGATAGGTAAAAGCTTGGATAGGTGGATCTCCTAAATACCCAGAATATGTATCAAACCTACAAAGATGGTCACCACCTCCCCCAAGAGTGACATTAACTCACTTGTGAGATGCTGAAAGTAATTTATGATATGGACAAGAGCAATGCTACTCATAAATGAGATGTAGGGAAAGAAGAAAGTCTTTCACAATAACTCTGCAAACGTGCCAGTTTTGTAGTAATGTAGATAATGAACTGAAACAGACGCTTGAGATTTAACTGCTTAGATTACTAATTATGTGTGTTTCATCAGAATACGGTTTCAAAGCTGTTATTCTTGCAGTGACCGATTTCTGCCACAAGATGCCACCATTTCACTAAAAATAGTTTTAGATTTTAGTATTACATAGTTACACAAGAGGTGAAAACTGCAATTCAGGACACGTGTTTTTGGAGCAGTTTAATGTTGATTATCCTGTGCAGTAAAATAGACCCTTTTCAAATGAAGATGGTTGATACTGATGCAATTTAAAGAGATTCATATTGGTATAGAAACTCTGGTCATTCAAATGTTTCAACACCAGTTACAACTTTAAATATTTAGAAAAAACATATAGACTAGTTAACTATGTCTCAGAAGATTGACAGAGGCTATGGCTGACCTCCGTGTTCTCCAGCTAGGAGGTGGTTCTTTTCCACTGTGTAAGAGAGGCAAAAAGAAAGAAAGAAAATGCAAAACAGCATGGTAAAAAACCTGAATGACCTGAAATATGCAGCCCTGCAACACCAATGAAAAGAATGGAAAACTGGGTAGTGGAAATGTAGGAGAGAATTAGAATAACCACATTGGAAAAAAATAGGAGCAGACCCCCAAATCACTGTAAGTTCTTTAAGAGGATTGGGAGACAGGACAGCAGGAAAAAAGAGATGAAGTGCTACAGTACTTAGAATTAACAGTAGAAATTGAGGTGTGTGTGTGAGCAAAAAAATTATCCATCACTTCTCATAGTAGTGGCTAATGTGGAAGATGACTATCCTAAATATCACCTTTACCAGTACTAAAGAGAAAATGTTTAAAAAAAAAAAAAAAATTGCTGATTTTTTTTTTAAAGTTGCTGATAGAGATTTTGAAATGCTAAGAAATTACAGTCATTAAAACCTGATAGTCATGAAGGATGATATGAATGAAAGTAGTTGTACGTTACTACAACTTAAAAAAAAGTTCAGAGGATTGTTGGAGCTTGTAGACCACACTGTGCAACTTCAGGATGTGAGCTGCACTGTGCTGTATGCACGCGTGTTTTTACTCTGTCTAGAAATATGACTGCATACATTTAGTAGAATGAGAGTGCCCGGTTATGTTTGGCTCTTGCAGACTTGCCTTTCTGCCTCTCTGCAATTATTTACAAAGAAAATAATTGTCTGTCTTTGTGACTGCTCCCTTGCGCACACCTGGCTATTGGCATATGTGCTATATAACTAAAAGAAACCTCATTTTTCAGCTTTTTCCTGTCTCAGTGGGTGAACAT